CCAACGGACAAACAGACACTTTCTTGCATAGGCTTATAACGATAGCAAGGATAAAATAGCAGCATCTGATGTACTTTAACCCTTTAGTAAACCATGAGTGGGACAGAATGAATACATTTGTCTAATGCCACAAGTTAAATTCAGTATTATTGTTGACTTCTTCTTCTACACCTAACTCCGTGATATTTCAATCCTGGTAATGAAGCAGAGCCTATCAAAGACCACAGGACAAACTGTAATGGAGAATAAAGACACACACATATGTATAAAATGGCATATGAAAGCCGTTCCTTTGTTTGCTAAAATTGTTTAAAACAATAAAACAAAATAGTGCGTCAACTAACTAAATATAAATGATATTTAATCTATTTTATGATAGATTTAAATAATTCTGGCAATATAGTATATATTTTCATCTTCCTAATGAAATCAGAAAGCCAAATGCATTCAGTCAGGGCCAAGGGAAGAAAACCTACATGGTTGAAGCTGAAGTCTGATAATAGCACAAAAAGAATTATTAAACACATAGCATCCTGTTAAATTCTGCTGCTGTCAAGTTACCTGACAAGTAGTCTGCTGTCTGTGTGCACACATATGTATGTGTGTAGCCAGGCGGTGGTGGCGCACACCTTTAATACCAGTACTTGGGAGGAAGAGGCAGGCAAATTTCTGTGAGTTCAAGGCCAGCCTGGTATACAAGAGCTAGTTCCAGGACAGGCTCCAAAGCTACAGAGAAACCCTGTCTCAAAAACAAAGTTTAAAAAAAAAAAAAGAAATAAAGAAAAACATGTATGTGTGCATATATGTCCACATATGAACATAAACTTCCCCTCGAGACTTATAAACCCTCCCACTTCATCTTTTTTCATTTTTCTGGTAATCTTGTACACTTCTCATCCTTTCTCCGTCTTCTCTTGGCATGCTCTGTTCTAGTTACTCTTTCCCTTCAGCAGTTAAGTTTCCTCTTGTGCTTTGGGAGAGGAGCATTTGTGGAAAACAGCTTTGTGTGGACAGTCAAAGCCAGTTCCCCCACCTCCCACCCCCTCTTAAATATGTATAAGTTATAGGCAGTAATGAAGTGCTTACGGTGCAAAAATTCATTCCAGAAGATTCTGATCCCTTTGCTGGCATTTTACAGTCTGACCCCAGCTTCGGCTTCATAACTGGTGCTCAGGAAGGAGGAGGCACCCAAAAGTGTGTGCTTGAAAAGCCATTTACAGCCTAGCATTTCAAGATTTCAACATTAACCAGCAGATTCGAATTCTGCTAAAATTCATATGGAGAACTAATATACTATGCCACAAAAGGAGGTTTGGGAATTAGAACTGAAATAGCTTCCACGAGGAGTTTTAAAATAGTAAAGATTGAAACTGAAATTTTCACAAGTCTGTGGTTGCGAGGAAAAGTTCAGAGCACAAGCGGTCATGGGCCACCTAACAGGACTCTGTCAAAAGCCCTCATCCTGAGCAGTGGTTCTCAACCTTCCTAATGCTGCAACCCAATATAATCTTCATGCCTGGGCGACCCCCAACCAGATAGTTGCTACTTCATAACTGTTAATTTTTCTACTGTTATGAATAATAACAATATAAATATCTGTGTTTTCTGATGGTCTTGGACAACCTCTGTGGAAGGTCACTCAATGCCAGGGGGTCAAGATCCACAAGTTGAGAACCACTGATCTAAAGGAAGGAAGAAACGATGTAATTATATTATAATTTCAAAAAATAAAAGAAGTAAAAGTATCAATCATGCAAAATGACTTGAGGCCCCCATTTGATCGGTGGTGATTTAGGCAACATGACAATCCCAGCAGATGCTCACTCTCTCTATGAGTGGTTTCACGGTGGTCAACCTCTGGGGCATTAGGAAAAATCTATGATTTAAGCAGATTTGTCATTCCCCTATTTTGCACGTGAGGAAGCTGAAGTTCAGACAGGTTAAGTTACTTGCCTAAAGTCACAAAGTATGCAAGTGTCAGAGACCAGGTATGTAACACTATGGGTCAAGAAACAGTTATTGTGGTTGACTCTTAAGGTATTGAGGGGAAGAGAACCCCTCAAAATCCTCCTCAAATGCATCTTGGAGAAACAAAAGAAGACTAAAACTAAATCTTAAGTTGCATCTTGTTTTCAATTCCTTGCCAGGGTACTGGGGAGTCTCTTAAAATACCATGATGCAAATACCACAAGCTACCCACAATCCCCTGTGCTTCTCCCCAGTACCAGTCAAGACTAGAGGTCACCTGGCACCCAAATGCTCTGCTTGGGCTATGTCCTCTGGTTCTTGCAGCTCTAGTATCCCCAGAGCAAAGAGAAAAAAAAACACAAGGAAGGAAATGACTGAAATTTTATGGCTCTTTAGCTGAAACACCATCGCGGAGAAGGATAGCTCAATATTCTGATGTGAAAACTTATTTGAGACCTTTCTACAAACCAGAAATCCCTTCCTGCGTTTAGAATAATTAATTTGGGGTTGTCCCAGCAACACAGTTAAAGGAAGCAAGAACAGAACTCTACTATTCACACATTCATATCTCAAAAACATTTGCATGGCTCAAAGACACCAGAAGAGACTCGCTGTTGAGTTGAGTATAATGCGTAGATAGAAATCTCTTTTACTCATCCACATACTCCAGGCATGTTTAAGGCATGATAGATACACAAATTACTCATGTGTGTTCTTCATGATGTTCTTTGGCTCTGAATGGAGACTGCCTGCAGCCTTGTTTGCTTCCAAAGGAAAGAGTCACTATCTCAAAACCCTTCCGAGGGGATACACGGCCTTCTAAGGTAGGATAACTGCTAAGGAAGGCTTCCTCCAAGCCACTGCTCTGAAAGACAAACCACCAGCACAGTGCCCAGCCCTGCTCCAGCGGCATTCACTGCCCTGCGACCAGCTGAGCCTGATACAATGCAGGAGAACTGGTGTCTCCAGCTAATGGCTGCTTTGATGCCTCTTCTCCCTGCACACTTTTAACCGGTTTTCTGGAGTCAACCCAAGCTCGGCAGAATTTCCAGACCTATGGAAGTGCGGCGTGCAAACGGGCCATTTCCTGGCAATGCTGCAAAGCTTCAGGGAACACGTCTGCTCATTTCCATGTTTATGAGTGGGAGGCAGCTCTGCTTGTGTTCCAGAGCAGGCTATCTCTACCTGGGATGCTGCCGAAAAGAAACCGCTGAACTAAGGAAAGAGAGTGCTCAGAAAAGTTAGCGAAGCTAACTGTCTCAGTGGTCGCTTAGGCAGAACCCGGTTTTGTACTGGATCGGTAAACAGCACTGAGCTGTGTGGGCCATTTTCAGAGACCTATTCAAGACTCTCCCTGGCGTTGTTGCAAAGGAAGCAGTTTTGTGAAATGCGTTCGACAAATATGGCATACTCTCAAAGTGAATTTTTCTTACTTAATGCAACCCAGAAATTGAAGCAAAGTGACAATATATAATGGGATACATGTCTAGGTTCCTAAATATTTATTCAGTATCATAGGAGGAAACACATTCAACAAAGTGTTTCCTAATTCTTACAAAGAGTCAGGCTTTGTGTTCGTTACCAGAAATGCAAACACAGGTGACACAGGGCTCCACCTTCAAAGGAAGTTTCTATTTAGTTGAAAGGACGAAGGAGAGGAAAGCGAGCCATGAAATGAGGATGTCTAGGATAAGGAGAAGTTGTTGTTTGGCTGTGTTTCTCTGTCCTTGAGAAATATTATTGGGTGGTTGAACTGGCTTGCAAGCACAGGAAATATAATTAGTTGACAAGAGGGTGAGCTAGGAAGAAGCTCCATCCCCAGCATGGAACTACCATCTTCGAATGGGGGAAAATGGACTTACCAAGAAAACTCCAAGCTGAGACCGAGTTGGCAGTCTCTGGGATGCCCATCAGGAAAACAGATCCACTGAGCAACACAAGCCAGTGTCCAACAGGATTCTTATCATTGCCCCCGGGGCTTAGTTAAGGTTGATTTTGAAAAGGTGGTGGTGAATCTGCCACACCAGTTTCATGCAGTCCAGAATCAGGTGCTTCCCAAGACAACTGAAAATCCCCAAAGCTGAACCTAGCTGCCCACAGTCTCTGCTGCCCACCTATTCCAGTTCCTGTAAAAAGAAAACTAGGGGTGACGGGAGCTGGGGGGTGGGGCTGTGGGAATGCCATTGCTGGAAATAGTTTGGTCTTCCTTCGTCAGTGTGAAAGGTCGCACAGCACCACCTCCTAGAAGGTAAAGGGTCCTTCAGGACACAGGTTGTGCTGGGGCCGTGAACTGGGGGGATATGGAGCGTTGGCTGGGATTAAAGTTCCCAAGTCACAAAGCCATGCTCTCAGAACTTCCGCACAGCTCTCTGGGCATAAACCCAACCCACAAGACAGGGGACATTGAGAACCTACCACACAGCAGCCATCAACACATCATAACCAACAAGCATGGCCATATGGGGTCTGCTTCTCTCCCCACATCCCGCCTGGACAAACAGGGAAGGAGCAACCAAGAGACATAGAATAACCTTATATATTGTACAGGAAATGGCCAACTTGAAATGCTAGGAGTTCCATTAGTAACTATGAGACAATGGGCATAAACCCAAACTGTCCACAGGAAAACTAAGGAACAGAATCACTTTGGAAGACCAACTCTGGCTCCTCATTACTCACTGCCCTCATTACCTTTTGCAGGAGACAGGGAAAGTCGTTTGAGATTCAAGTGTACCAGAGAACAGAGCTGGACTTCAAGTATCGGAATGAGATTGCCCTAATTACAAAGTATTGAAAATTGATTGATAGAATTTATTCAGCCTGACACTAAAAGGCCAGAAGTAAAGGAAGTTTTCATACAACACAAAGAACTGGGAAGAAAGAAAACAGTATTTCGAGCGTTATCCCTGGAAGCTGCAGTTTTAGTAAATCAGCTACAAATATGCCGCAAGGCACAGAGACTATTGTTGGTCGAATAGACCAATACAAGGAGCCTGAAGAAATGTTAAATGAAGATATAACATGTTATACAATCCACCCTTAGGTGGGTGGAGAAAACAGGAGAATTCTGGGAGAAGGAGTCTTGGTGGAGAGTCGCCATGGTTCTCCCGCTCCAGACAGACGCAGGTTAAGATCCTCCCTGGTAAGCCAGCTCGTGGGCTACACAGGATATAATAATACTTGATTCTTGGGCAAGAAACTGCTCTTGCCTGGACTGTTGCATAAACTGGACACAGAGAACCCGCAGAGAGAGGACTGCTGAACTTGCCTAAAGGTGAGATGACCTTTTGGGGTTCCTGCTTCATGAAAGAGTCTGTGAGACATTCTGCAGGACACAGCAAAAAGTGACTGAACTGTCTTTGGAATTTCTTGCTTGATGAGAATGTCTGCTGGATACTATGGGCCTGTAGGCCGAAGATGGATGCCCCAACGGTACAGAGGAACTTTGGGTGACTGTCCAGGCAGCGAGATGTCTCTGTCATTTCTAGAGTTTTCTTATTTCTTGTTTGATAGGTAATATTATATCCTTCTGGAGTCTTTGATGGAGTTGAAGAATGGTTAGTTATAGTTTTCCTTAGTTATGATAAGAGATAAAATAGATATAAATATTGTAACTGTAATTCTTACTTGATAACTGTTTTGTTATATGTAATTTTACTATGTTAAAGTTAAAGCCTTTCTTTTTTGTTTAAACAGAAAAAGGGGAAATGATGTGGGAGTGATTTCTTATTAATAAAGAAACTGCCTTGGCCCATTTTATTGGATAGAAAATTAGGTAGGCGGAGTAGACAGAGGAGAATGCTGGGAAAAAGAAGCTGTGTGAGGAGTCGCCATGGTTCTCCCGCTCCAGACAGACGCAGGTTAAGATCCTCCCTGGTAAGCCAGCTCGTGGGCTACACAGAATATTAGAAATGGGTTAGAACAATATGTAAGAGCTAGCCATAAGGAACTGGAACTATCCGGGCCAGGCAGTGTTTGAAAGAATACAGTTTCCGTGTAATTATTTCTGGGCATAAGCTAGCCATGCGGGCGGCCGGGTGCCGGGGACGCAGCCCTGCCGCTCCTAATTCAACAAATGAAAATAATGATGCTACTTTGCAAGAAACAAATGATAGCAAATAAGAAAGATGATCAATATTTAATAATATGAAAAGATAGAGCTAATGAGCTACCTCAGGGCTGGAGAGTGGGAGAGTACTTTGTTCTGTAGACATGAGGATCTGTATTCAGTCCCCAGTCTCTGGCACAGCAGCACATGTCTGTCAGCCCAGTGCTAGGGAACAAACAGGAAGGCCCCAGAGTCTAGTCAATAAGGCTAGCTTCAGGTTCAGAAAGAGAGACTCTCGCAAAAAATAAAATAAAGAGCTATAAAAGACACCTGATATTGAGCTCTGGGCCCACACACACCCACAATGGCGCACATATACACATTCTCTCTCTCCTCTCTCTCTCTCTCTCTCTCTCTCTCTCTCTCTCTCTCTCTCTCTTTCTCTCTCTCTCTCTCTCTCACACACACACACACACTCACACACACACACACACATACACACACATGCATGACATACAAATGATGAAAATACAAACATTTATACTATATAGTAAATGGGTTCAAAATCCAACCTTCTCCACTCTTCACGTGGAGGTCTTGAGTAAGTAATTTAATTATTTTGAGCTTATTTCTGCATCTGTGAGTGAGAACCATAAAACTGACTCTCAGAGTTGTGATGTTATGTACAAACATCTGGAAATAACGTTTGACTGAGTGCTCTGTTTGACAGAAGCGATACTCACACTTCTTTCTCCTCTGCTGTGCTGTAATAATAATAACGCAGCAAGGCCCCCTCCGGGGACCAAGTCCTTTCCTACTGACCCAGAATGGGGAACTACTGTACAGTAGATCATGTAGCAGTGCTCAAACTCTGCCCTTCCATGTCCATAATCTAAGCCTGTAACCCAAACTCATTGTGAATATGTACACACGTATTTGAAGGAGAAAGCTGTAGGTCTATCTGAATTCCTCCTCCTTGATTCCCATAACTATCACTACTGACCCTAATACAGACAAGAGGTGAAAGGATCAGGCTCATCCGTGATCAAATCAGTGTGTAATGTCAAGCAGAAAGAAGTCCAAATACTTTGGTCTTCCAGTAAAATCCCAGGCACAGGTAAAATGTGCTTAAAACATGAACCAGATTGACTGCTTAAAGGCGGTAAGGCAGGCAAGCCAACAGAGCACACTTCCAACCAGAAAACTGCACAGACACAAAGTAAACCTCCTTTCCTGGGGTGAGAGGTAGGAGTGGGGATTGACGAACGAATAGCAAACCACTGGGCATGAATTACTTTTATCTCCTTAGGTTCACTTCCTACGATCCCTAGTGCAGTGTGCTTGAAAGTGAACAGTGGCCATTGACCGGCTCATCCAAAAAGCTGGATTGAGAAAATAGTGTTGGCTACGCTGTTCTTAGTGTTTTATATATTGGCCCATCTCAGTAAATGCATGGCGCTGTGGGGCGCATAAAGACAACAACTGATTCTGACAAGGAAGGTCTCTAAAAAGAAGTAAATCTCCCCCAAAAGACTATTAACCATAGCATTAAAAGGGGACATATTGTGGATTAAAAACTGTCCATTTTATGGAGAGAAAAGATTGCTGTGCATCATATTATTTTATAACAGTGAACATTCCACAGGCGAAACGGGGCATCATCATTTGCCAGTGCGTCGGACTGTGCCTGCAGTGAGAGGCAGGAATGGGAATCGCACATAGGACATTTATTAGGTTCCTATTGCTGAGATAAAGACGGTGAACAAAAGAAACAAGGAGGAAAGGGTCTATTTCATCTCACAACCGCAGTCCATCAGGAAGGGCAGGAAGGGCAGGCACGGAAGCAGAGGCCATAGAGGCACGTTGCCTACTGGCTTGTTCTCCTAGGCTTGTCCAGTCTGATGTCTTTGCTATCCAGGACCATCTGCCCAGGGGCAGTACTGCCCACGGTGGTCTGGATCTCCCACATCAATTATTAACCAGGAGACCATCTCACAATCCTGTGGAGGCATTTTCCCAACTAAGATTCCCTCTTCCCAGGTATGTCTAGGTCTGGACTAAGTTGACAAAAAAGCAGCCAACACAACAAACCCCTTGTCAACTTGACACACAAACACATCACTTTTTAAACTGTAATATTTCCTTTCATGTTCCTCCCCAAAATCTCATATATAATTATAATTTTAAAGTTTTTTAAGTTGTCTATATTTTTAAAAGCCTAAGCTTTCAGTTAAAATAAAACATCTCTTGAAAACTTCAGTCTCTCAGCTATGAAGTCCTGAAATATTAGGAGTAAATTAAATGCATTCTTACTCTAAGGTGGAAGAATCAGGGCACAGTCCTAATCAAATCAAGGCAAGAACAAAATTTAACAGTGTAAACAGTTTAGTGTCCATTATCTGGGATTCGCTCACACTCTTCTGGCTTCCAAAGTGCCTGAGTGGCTCTGCCTCTCTGGATCCGCCCTCCACGGAGGGATCTTCAATATTCTGGGGTCTCCCACTGCAACTGGGGTTGTACTTTCACCAAGATCTCTGCACTGACAGGTTTCTTGTGTCAACTTGACACAAACTAGAGTCACCAGAGAGGAAGGAGCCTCAGTTGAGGGAATGTCTCCATAAGATGCAGCAATGAGTCATTGTCTCAATTAGTGATCAATGGGGGAGAGCCCAGCCTGGTGGTGGTGGTGCCATCCCTGGGTTGGTGGTCCTGAGTTCTGTAAGAAAGCAGGATTATCAAGCCAGGGGAAGCAAGGCAGTAAACATCACTCTTCCATAGCCTCTGCATCAGCTCCTGCCCCTAGGATCCTGTCCCGTTTGAGATCCTGTCCTGAGATCCTTCAGCGATGAACAGCAATGTGGAAGTGTAAGCCAAATTAAACCCTTTCCTGACCAACTTCCTTGTTGGTCATGGTGTTTTGTCCCAACAATAGAAACCCTAACCAAGATAGTCTTGGTGGCCCCTCTTTCAGGTACTCACTGTTGCACATGACAGCCCTCGACTGCTCACCATAACCTTTCCATGCTTGCAGAACCTGTACTCTCTGAGTGGTTATTGCCACATTACTAAGTTAGCAGCACAAGATACAGCCATGGCTCTCTCTGGATCCCAGCTTCTGTGTGCTAATCCTGAGTAAATACTTCCCAGATGATACTACTCCGATCATGCCGGGTTCCTCATAATTGCCACTAATTTCTCCGCTTCAGCTAACCAGCCTCCCTTGTCTCAGCATAGCAATGATTTTACTTTCATGGTTCTGGGTCATGTTAGTCGTATTAAATTCTTCAGTCCCAGAAGGTCAGAACCATAGAGTCATAATATAAAACAGCTCACAAAGGCTCAGATAAAGTTGTCTAGAACTTCAAAAACCAGGCTCCATCATTTCCACTGCTTTTAGCAATATCTTCCAAGTCCCCATAGTCTCTGAATAGTCAATGTATTTTCTAGCCCAAAATTTCAAACTCCTAGAATCCTTCTCAAAACATATGGTCAGTTCTGTCACACTACCACCCCACTCCTGGTACCAATTTCTATCTTACATAGATTTCTATTGCTGTGATAAATACCATGACCAAAAGTAACTTGGGGAGAAAAAGGCTTATTCCGTCTTACAATTGAAGTCCATTATGAAGGGAAGTCAGAGCAGGAATTGAAAATAACAGCTAAAAGAGAAGCCATGGAAGAGTGCTACTTAAAGGCCAGCTCCCCACTGCTTGTTCAGTCTTTTTTCTCATATCATTAGGAATCATCAGCCACAATGGGCTGGGCCTTCCATAACAGTCATTAATCAAAACATTCCCCAACTTTCATGCCTATAAGCCAGTCTTATGTAGGTATTTTTCTCAATGTTCTCTCTTCCCAGATATGTCTATATTTGGGTCAAATTGACAAAACCCAGTCATTACAGGACTTTAGTTGATTATTTTTAAACGTTAATGTCATACTACAGAGAACGTTGATACAAGTGTGGGGTGATTTGGCTATTGGATCTAAACCTCAAGGTTACTACTAACACTTAAGTGGGGCACAAGAGGGCTCAAATCCACGTGGCACAAACTGGTCTCATACATCAAAAAAGATCAGTCAAGGGAGAAAAGCAATTCATTGCTTGAATACCTAGGATGCTAGCAACATATATAATGTAATCTTTTTTTGTATGTGTGTGATGTACATACCTGTGTTCATGCAAGCTTGTGCATGTGCGTGGGCACATGTGGGAAGGTACATGCTGTCTACTCTCCATCCTATATATTGAGTAAGGGCCTCATCTTGAGCTCAGAGTTCACTGAGTCAAGTGGCTATGGGGAATCCCTGTCCACTCAACTCCATGGGTTCTGGGATTACAGGCAGACCACTACTTATTAGCAGTATTTATAGGAGTCTGGGGATCTGCACTCTGGTCCTTACACTTGCAATGTTAACACTATAACCTGCTAACACATCTTCCCCAGCCCCAACAATCTTTAAAGCAACCTATGAACTTATCAAAAGTATCAAGAACTCCACCATGAGGGCTGGAGAAATGGATCAGCAGTTAAGAGCATGGATTTTTCCTTTACAGAACCCGGGCTTAGGTCTGAGCACCCACAAGGGGACTATCAACTCTCTGTAACTACAATTCCAAGGGATCTCTGGCATCTTCACATATATGGTACATAAATATGTATGCAGGCAAGACATGAATACATACATTTTTCATTGAACTCTACCATTAAGATGTTTCTGCAAGCTTTGATCAGTATCTATCACTAGGCTCTTAGCAATGGACAAGAAGCATTTCAACAGCTGGTGATCCCACAGACCACCTTAGGAGAAGCATCTATCCTCAAAATTATTTCATAAATCAATATAATACTGAACTACAACACAAGCCAGAAAAAATTGCAAAATATCAGATTGTCAGGTGGAGCAGAGTTAGTACTGAGAGAACCTTCCT